TAGTACAGTATAAAGAGAGATCATGCAATGTAAGTCGGCAGGGGGCGCTAAGTAATATCACTCTATGTCAGGCTCATTTCCAGTCCCTCTTCCTGATAATTATTGCAGTCCCTAAAGCCCTTGATTCTTTTATCGACTAAAGATATTTAAAAGTCAATATAAAATCTTACCCCAAGGAATGTCAGTGTATCCTCCAAAGGCCCATGGGCTTTTCTTTATGATGTTTTTGTTTTCTATCACATCGCGTAACCTTGCGATGGAATATCATTTTATCCAAAGGGAAGGAGGCGTTACTATTGATCGCTTCTTGTTAATTGAAACCTTTATTTAACACACGATCCAACCTGCGATGGGCCACTTTGCTCGAATGCCGAGCGTTTATACGGGGCGCCGTTTTATAAATAATATAATGTAGCTCCGTTGCGAAAAAAAGAAACTTGAAAATACAATGTAGCTGGTAAAAATGGATTTAAGTTGAATCTATAATTAGAAGGTTGTCAGAATTTAACTCATTTGAACGGGTGAAACATACAGAGCTTAAGTACCGTATTTATTCGATTAACCGCCCAGGGCGCTTTTTAAACTTTTGGGCCTTTAGAGTGGGCACTTATTCGAGGTGGGCGCTTATTAAATTTTCACCATTTTTAGCAAGTGAAGTATGTTTATTTTGCAACAAAACAATAAATGCTAATAACAAAACGCAAAGAAGTAACAAAGCAAGATTTCTGTAAAATACTCTGAAAAAAACTCCGTCCTCGGGGAAGTCTCTTATTAGAATTTATTCACTCAAGTGTGTGGGGTGGGGGTGTGCGCTTATTTGAGTTTGATTGGGAGGAGGAGGGGGTGGGCGCTTATTCGAGGCTGGGCTCTTATTAACTTTTTCTGCCTTTAGGATGGGCTCTTATTCGAGGTTGGGCGCTGATTCGAATAAATACGGTATAGTGTAAACGGCGTATCGAGGCGTTTGCCTCGGGCAAATAATTCACTCTTTAGGAACTCGTATTTCTCGCTCTCTATTAAAGCATTACCCGATTGTAAACTACAATGCTAGTGCTACTGTTGGAATCATAATGCAGTGACGATGAACACCTGTTGGAGTATTTTAAGGTGTCAGTGAAACACCCGTGGCCGGCTAAAACCCTGTTAAAGGTACTTAAGAGCGGATGTCTGTAAATATCGACCAGAGGTGGGAAAAATAAAATTATTGGAAAATCCCCCAAAAATTATGTAGACTACCCAAGGTATTCTAGTTATGAAAATATAAATTTTAGTTTCATTGGATAAATATTTTGGCGATACGGCGAATGCCAATTTCGGGCGATTGACGACCTCCGCCAGACCGTTCTTCGTGCCTTTAGACCGGGCTACGAAAAGACCACGATTTGAGTCGCATTCAAATATCATTAAACCCAAAAAGCTTCTTATCATATTAAACGGGTTTTAATACACATTTTGAGTGGTTATGTTCTCGAATTGATGGCAACTGGAATATCTTATGAATTTTTAAATATTTACAAAATTTTAAAGATTTTACGCGAGCAAAATATTGTCAAATTTTAAAGGCCTAAAATCACATCCGATACATGATTTCAAACAGAAAAAGACATTCCACGTTAAAAATCAGTCTCTAAGCTTTCAAAATATCCTTTCAAAACTCTGGACAACATATGAAATGAATTTTGGGGAACGCAAAATTCACGGAGCATTTAAGTGTAATTTGACCTTTCTGACTTGACAGATAAGAGGTTCGGCGCGACACAAATCAATCCTCCAACAAATGTTTCAGCCAAAATACGTTTGATTTTAGCAATCTCAAGTCCCACAGTGATACATAGACGCTTCATCCATATTAGGTGAAAATTTTTATACCATTTTGTCAGCTGTAAATGAAGAACTCTTATCCTGGCCTTCAGGTGCCGTGTTTGAACTCGCCTCGCCAATGTAAGCATTAGGGTCAAGTTCCGATCACGAAACAGCGAAGTTTTCAAAATCTACACCAAGTATCTATCCTTTCTAGTTTATAATCAGGTCTACAATTTGTTTTTTGTACCTTGTGTCCTTGTTTGACTTCATTTCTGCCATGAAACTGAGACAAACCACTTCGAAATTCCCGCTCGCTCGACATGACACGTGTCACGTGAAAGAGCCGTTTTAGACTCGATTGCGTCGTTACGAAAACATAGCGATTATTTCTGATTTGTGTGAAAAACATTCCATCTCTAACCTACATGTTATAGATATGCCATTGGATGAGTAGACAATCTCATTTTTTTTTCTTACGATGCAGTTTTACCGATCGTAGGCTTGTGATTCCCGAGCGTGTCTATTAAAACGCGAAATGCATATAACGTCTTCTCTCTTGTCTGTTTTGGTTATCTAATATGGCCCATCATGTGCAAAGAGCTTATAATTACAAGGGAAAAAAGCACGAGTTAAAAAATCGGCTTAGGTTAAGCTGTCCACCAATTACACTTTTGTAGTCATAACCGAGCGCACCGTCGACCTCAAGTTTTTCAGTTATTACTGTCACGTGTTACCGACGTAAAATATGGTTGCTTTACCTTTTTTTGGCAATTTATAAAGCGCGCACTGTTTGGATTAGCCTGCGTAGCATGCTAGGCCGCGCGAGGGCAACACGCGTCTTCGACGTTTCTTCTTATCTGTCAAGTCAGAAAGGTCAAAGGGACTCGATCACGGTTATGCGCATGCGCGCCGTTTGTCTCTTCAGAATAAATTTGTCGGGTCAACACTAAATTCGAAATCGCCATTACCGGTACAATCATTGAAAATCCTTCGTTTNAAAGAGCCGTTTTAGACTCGATTGCGTCGTTACGAAAACATAGCGATTATTTCTGATTTGTGTGAAAAACATTCCATCTCTAACCTACATGTTATAGATATGCCATTGGATGAGTAGACAATCTCATTTTTTTTTCTTACGATGCAGTTTTACCGATCGTAGGCTTGTGATTCCCGAGCGTGTCTATTAAAACGCGAAATGCATATAACGTCTTCTCTCTTGTCTGTTTTGGTTATCTAATATGGCCCATCATGTGCAAAGAGCTTATAATTACAAGGGAAAAAAGCACGAGTTAAAAAATCGGCTTAGGTTAAGCTGTCCACCAATTACACTTTTGTAGTCATAACCGAGCGCACCGTCGACCTCAAGTTTTTCAGTTATTACTGTCACGTGTTACCGACGTAAAATATGGTTGCTTTACCTTTTTTTGGCAATTTATAAAGCGCGCACTGTTTGGATTAGCCTGCGTAGCATGCTAGGCCGCGCGAGGGCAACACGCGTCTTCGACGTTTCTTCTTATCTGTCAAGTCAGAAAGGTCAAAGGGACTCGATCACGGTTATGCGCATGCGCGCCGTTTGTCTCTTCAGAATAAATTTGTCGGGTCAACACTAAATTCGAAATCGCCATTACCGGTACAATCATTGAAAATCCTTCGTTTTATTCGGACATCCGTCGCTTTGGCTGGTCTAGTTGTACTTCGGTAGTGGTAATTAACGTGTGGTTGTGTTGTTTGACTGGTTACGTTTTAAGAAGACGCAAAAAATAATGTTTTGATCATGGAGGTTCAGAAGAGCATCGTGGCCGTCCGGCAACAGGACGTTCTCAAGAGTCTTTGGAGATAGAGAAGCTTAGCCGATCGGTCTGGTATGGTTCTAGGAGTAGTGTGCGGCTTATGAAAAGAATACACGACACTTCGAAAGTGGTTAAAGGCATCAGTTCGTTAAACTTTGATTTGGTTTTTGACTCCGACCTGTAGTTATAACGCAACAGGCCGCGCGATCTTCACCAATCTAGTACACTTGAAATGTTCCTTGTATCTTTGCTTTACGATCGTATATGTTTAAGAATTGATGTTTTTAAAATAAATTATTGCCTGAATATTCTGTTTATAATCTAGTTTCTTCATGTGTTCTACTCGATAACATTTGTTTTGCGGAACACTGACCCGATGCAACGAGAATGAATTTGTTCATTTGCTGATAAGCAATTGAAATTTATGCTCAGTTAAGGATAATCTTTATACTCATACGTTGTGTGTTTTTGTCACGGGTCAGGCGCTATTTGTAGGTATTTCTGGGTTTATATAAGGCGAACTGAGAGAACAGTTATAAGATATTTGTTTACAAATTTTGTATGCCGATCGGTGACTGCTATGTTAGCGTGGGTACGATCTCGTAAAAATACACGTTGGTAAATGTTTGTTTCAAAGCAGGACAGGGCTGTAAATCTTATTCTTATCGGCTGCAACACATATCTGAGGAGTAGCAAAGAATAAACTTGAATTATGGGGATAAATAAAATCAAACCAAATGCCCGGAAATACTCTCGCGTCGCGAACAATGAAATTTACTTGCGTGCATCTAACTCGCTTCCAATTGGTTTAAAAACAATCAGCTACTGTCAGAACTCACACATGCGCATTATCGTGAACCAGTCCCTTTAAATGCTTCGTGAACTTTGCGTTCCCAAAAATTCATTTCATATGTTGCCCAGAGTTTTGAAAGCATATTTTGGAATGTCATTTTCCGTTTGAAATCATGTATCAAATGTGATTTTAGGCCTTTGAAATTTGACATTATTTTGCTCGCGTAAAATCTTTAAAATTTTGTAAATTTTTAAAAATTCATAAAATATTCCAGTTGCAATCAATTCGAGAACATAACCACTCAAAATGTGTATTAAAACTCGTTTAATACGATAAGAAGCTTTTTGGGTTAAGTGATATTTGAATTCTATTCAAATCGTGGTCTTTTCGTAGTCCCGTCTATAGGCCCGAAAAAGCGGTCTGGCGTTTGCCTTCAATCGCCCGAAATTGGCATTCGCCGTATCGCCAAAATATTTATCCAATGAAACTGAAATTTATACTTTCATAGCTAGAATACCTAGGGTAGTCTACATGATTTTTTGGGGATTTTTCAAAAATTTTATTTTTCCCACCTCTGGTCGATATTTACAGACATCCGCTCTTAAATATCAATATCAAATCTTACGCCAGGGAATGTCAGTGTATCCTCCAAAGACATATTGGCTTTTCTGTACGATGGTCACAGTATTCTTTTCACCGTCGCATCTAGCATGGAAGATGTTGGCTTCCGAACCATGTAAGGTTGCACGGTAGCAAAGAAGCCAAGAAGAATCCTCCCCAACTTCAGGAGCAAGGAAACTGTGAAGATGTTGCAGATAAGACTGATTTCCATGTAATATTGTTGAGTTTATTGAAAATTCTGAAAATGGGAACACATGGATGATACAAAAAGGTTATTTTGGATGAGGAAATATCACAGTCAGGGAATCTATCCTTATATCTGTATACTTAGCCACAGCCTCATTTTACTCATATGTCCTGCAGGTAGATTAGGTAGAAAGGTAGATAGGTGGTATAGTGAATGGACGACGAATGAATGGATGGCTGGATGGATGACTAATCTTTCTTCAAAAAAACGTGCATGCATGCATATTAGAATGATAATGAACAAAATGAAAGCGAAAGATAACATTAAAAACAAAACCAGTCAAAACAAACAAAAAAGACCATTAACTCCATGGCAAACAGGCATAGCAGCAAAGCCACTCGACAATTCCGAAATGAACGAGAACGTGAACGTGAGTAATAGCACGGTTCTGCTAAGGTATATCTCTTCTTTTCTCTTGTTCTCTTTACTCAAACGCGAGGTAAAACTGGATACATTTTTTAATGGGATAATCGTGGACGGAACGATGAAATAAAGGGTTTGACGGACTGATAGGTAGATTAATACCAATCTTTTTTAGTGTAGTTCAAACTATTGGACATCGCGATAATAG